TGTTTTTTGGGAGGGTGACAGCCACATCACCAGCAAGGCACTGGGAAGATCTCACCCGGAAGATCTGCCCGAGCACGCTGTTTTGGAGACGTGCCTCCAAAATCATGAAAGGAAAAGGAGATTACTGCTCGCCAGCATAAGCTGAAAATTAGGTGGAGGCATCCAAGCATGGGTGTTTTGGGACAATTTCCAAACAGGGTACCAGGAGCAAGCAACTGGTTTCAAGACGGTGCCGGGGAAGTGTGCCAAAGGGGCTGAGCAAGGGTGGTCTCCGAGTTAGGAGCTGAAACTTGCCCCTTGTGTCAAATATGTCGGTCTTTACGAGGAGAGTTGAAAGGGGAAATTCAGCGGGGCCATGTGTGTGCCACATGCGTGCCTGTGCGACGTATGTGCTCCGCTGCACGTTTTGCTGGTAGCCTGCAGGGATCAGGAACAAATTTCTCTCCTTTGCTATAAACTTTGGCAGCTGAGTTGTTGGGTTATTTGATCTGGCTGCAGATCACTGCGGTCGCAGACGGAATACGGGGCGCTGTGTTCTCAGGGATATTCAAGCAACTCAGGCACTGCTGCTAGGGCTGGGTTTTTAAACTAATTCCTTATGGGAAGTTCTCCAAGCCAGAGGGGCAGGGAGGGGGCACGGGTGAGGGTTTTACCCAGGCCCACAAGGCTTAGCTCCTGGAGATGCTCTCCAGCCCACGAGGTGTTCAGGAGCCCCAATGGCTGGTGATGGGGCTTGAGGGCAACCCAACCGCTTCAACCACAAACTTGACTATAGGAAGTTCCATCTTAACATGAGGAGGAACTTCTTTGCTGTGAGGGCGGCAGAGCAGTGGTACAGGCTGCCCAGAGAGGTGGGGGAGTCTCCCACTCTGGAGACGTTCAAAACCCGCCTGGACACCGTCCTGTGCCACTGCTGGAGGTGCCCCTGCTCTGGCAGGGGGGTTGGACTAGATGATCTCCAGAGGTCCCTTCCAACCCTGACCATTCTGTGATTCTGCAATTTCCATCAGGTTGGAGACATTAGGGACTGACAGAGTTTTGGCAAGGCCAAATTCTGCCCCGAATCAGCCTTTCACCCCGTCTTGGCTCCCTTCCTCCAGCAAGACTACATCTTTTGGCCAGTGAAGCTCCAAGCTGGCCCACAAGCAGGCAGAGCAGCACAGGGCTCAGGGGCCGCACCGGCTCAGCCCTGACCGCCATACGAGAGCATGTTCCCAGCAGCGCTAATCCAATTACAAAACAAGACTTCCTTCCTTCATTAGCAGGGCCTGCAGCATGCTAAAGCGGCTTGGCGATTATGGACGGCTTAGCAAGGGGCCAGAGATCAGGCGATGAACAGCAGAGCAGGGAGGAGGGGCAGAGAACAGAGGGAGCAGGGAGGACACAGGGGATTGCCGGGACAAATGGATTGGGAATTGCTGCAGACAAAAGGTCTCTGATCAACCTTCATGCTCCCAAGGGGGTTAACCTCAAAGCCACGTGAGGTTGCTCAGGCCCTTCTCTGTCCTGGGGATTAGCATCCTCATGAATGGGGATCCCTGTCACCTCTCTAGCCCTGTCACATGGCTGCCCCTCACCCCCCACCCCCAGTTTCCAAACAACACTCATTTCGGTCACGGGACAGCAAAAGGTAGCACTAAAATAATCTTGCAAGAGAGATTCAGTCCAAATTTTCTGGGGAGCTCCTGATCAGCTCCCATCACAAACAGAGGATGCAATGCACCAGGCCAGATCCAGAGTCATACGCTTTCCGTGGGATTCCCAAAATGAGACCTCCCCAGCTCCAAACAGGACCCAGGACCTGCTTGGATCTGCCCCATTTGAGACTACATCCATCCCCTAACGCAATGCCAAGCTGTGGGCTGGCTCTTTGCTATGGCTCCATGTCCTCTACCCTGCTCCTCTATCTTTCTTGTTGGACCTCCACCACTACATGAGGGCCCACGTGGGGCTGGAGGCTCCGTGAGCCTGGAGGTGTTGCCCTCAGGCTGCAATGAATTTGTAGCCCTCTTCATCCCTGGTGTCCAGTCCCTCCTGGTAATGCTATGAAGAGGGAAAAAACCCCAAACCTAGTTGGCTTAGGGCCATTCAACTTCTCTCAAAAAAAAAAGGCCTCTGGTCAACACTAACACTGCTTGGAGCAGGAGGGTAGACTAGAGACCTCCTGAGGTCCCTTCCAACCCAAGTTCATAGAATCATAGAATGGTTTAGGTTGGAAAGGACCTTGAAGATCATCGAGTTCCAACCCCCCTGCCATGGGCAGGGACAGCTCCCACTAGATCAGGCTGCTCAAAGCCCTGTCCAACCAGGCATTAAACACCTCCAGGGACGGAGCTTCCACCGCTTCTCTAGGAAGTTATCACGAGTGTAGCCAGCAGGTCAAAGGAAGTGGTTCTTTCTCTTTATTTGGCATTGGTGAGGCCACATCTAGATACTGTGTTCAGGTTTGGACCCAAAGTACAAGGAGAGTCCTGCAGAGGGTCACTAGGATAGTCAGGGCCAGAGAATACGTTGTACAAGGAGGTGCTTGAGGAATTAGGCTTCTTTATCCTGGAGATGCGAAGGCTGAGGAGGGATGTAACTGCCACAGAGAGGATTGAGAGCAGCTTAGCTGAAGCGTGTGGACACAAAGCCCAGCTGCAGAGAAGTCCTGCTGGTCCGTGACTCCTTCTGGGGAGCTGGTGCCATGCCCACAGGTCTCACACCCCTCAGTGATCAGCAGGGATGCCCCTGAGATGCAGCCAAGGCTGCTTGGGCAGGATCACACCGTACGGCTGCGAGCTCAGTGCTACAGCCAGCACAGGCTGCTTGGCAGTTTGCTCCCTGCTACAGTTCCTCAAAAAAAAAACCCCAAATCCCCAAACCAAACCACAATACATAGGGATGCTCTCCTGTTCCTTCGCTCCCCGGCTGCACGGACCCGAGAAGCCGCTGCTTTGCCAAGCGCAGCCACAGAGAAGGCAGAATATGCCCCGGGATGAGCTCTGTGCCAGAGCCATCAGGGCACAGCAGGGCCCCGAAGTGCCCTCGAAACCTTTTAAAGGTTTTTAAGGGCAACCCAAGAGCATCTCCATGTTTCTGCAGCTCCAGCCCTTTCTGCAGGCTCCAGCGTGGCACCGCCAGGAGAAAAACCTTCCAGCTGGAGTCGCCTCCCTCCCCGCTGCTGGAGAAGATGCCGTGCCTGGGATGGAGGGAGGCAGCCGGGGAGCTGGCAGCAGCCAAGCGGAGCTGTAAGGAGACACCGGCACCCGAAGAGCTCAAACTGCTGCCTTTTAAGGAGCGGCAGAGGCTGAGGCATCCTGGAACGAACCGACAGTTTCCGCGGGCTCCCAACCCCGGCGTGCACTGGGGCGACCGCGCTGGCCGTGCCTCATGGTCCCCACAGCAGCACACAGCCGTGACGGGCAGCCAGGACAGCAATCCCCCAGCTACAGAGGGAGTCTGGCAAACCCCAAAGCCCCAGATGGTAGAGCAGGGTTCCTGCCGTGGCTGCAGCGCTCACCCACGCCATGTCCCCACAGTCCCATCCATCACCTCTGTGTCCCCTTCCCCCCAGAAAACCAGCAGGACCAGCTCCTCCCTGGGAGCCAGGGGTAGGGAGGATGATGCTTTTTCACATCACGCCACCGCCAACACATCCCACCAACACCCCCAGTGCTTTGCTCCACCGACGTGAAAGGTTTTGCCGTTCCAGCGGAGCATTTGTGGCTGCCACAGCCTCTCGCTGAACACAGGTGGGACCGCATGGAAAGGGAACGGGCCGCAGGGGAGGAACAGCAAGACCAAGCTTCGTCTGAAGCACGGGTGGAGGAAACATACATGCGTGGGTACGGGAGCAAGGTTAGAAGGCAAAGGTACGCGTTAAAGGCTACAGAGCACCAGAAGTAGCTTCAAGCCAAACGAAGAGAAGGAGCGAGCTGGCCCAAAGATAAAGTATCAGGAAGACAAAGAACAGGACTGGAACCACTAAACACCCAGAGGAAGAGAACAGGAGACCTGTGAAATTCAGGGGGTTTACCTAAGACTTATGAGGGGGTGAAGGAAAACGAGGAGGCAAAAGATCCCTAAGAGTCCCCCCCTTCTCCAGGCAAGTCCAAAATCTGCTCATCGCTGCCCATGAAGGGTCCCAAAGACAGAGCAAGGACGTGACCACGGGTGTCCCTTGTCCCCTCTGTCTCAGACGAGTGAGCTGACCGGACCGCTCGGGCACACAGGTCTCGGTGTATGCGAAGAGCAAAGAAAAATCAATTTGCTTAGAGCTTTTTGTGTAATATAATCCCCTTCCCCGACATGTCGCCACACCGAACCCCCCGCCGGAGGTGGTGGGATGCCGGTGCCCAGTCCCCACAGAGCAGGAGGCGACCATGCACCGCTTTATTAGGCAGTGGTGCTGCACGCGTGGCCCAGAGCGGTCACTATTTACATTTGGCAAAAGATGGCAACGAGTACCGAGCACCCCTGCAGGGTTGCGGCCACCGCTGGCCTGGCTCCCCCCTGCCCTGTGCCTCGCTAGCCCCAGGCAGGCCCCCACTTGCCCCTCGCCGGCCTCCTCACCATTTGTCTCCCATGGGCAGAGCCAGGCACCCTCACGGAGGCACCTCAGGCCCGTTCATGGATGATTTCTCCCCCGTTTCCCACACGTCGTGCCCCCCCTGCCCGCCCCCCCAGGCCTCTCCAAGGCCCCAGCTCCAGTCCTTGCGTCCCGAGCTCTGCCCGGAGGCAGACAAGGGCGGCAGGCGGCCAGCGAGCCCCGCTCAGCTCCTTGGGTTGGGGGTCCCCTCGGCGCCATCCCAGCGGGCACACGGGACAACCCCCCCGAGGTAGCGGGACAAGGGGGGTCCGTCCCGGCCGCAGCAATCCCCAACAGCACCGGCAATGCCCAGCGAGCCGCTCGTGGGCTGCCGGTCCAGAGCCCGTCCTTGGTACGGTGGCAGGCGGCCCTGCGGACGGGCCAGTTCGGGGTGCACCCGGCCTTGAGCCCAGCTCGTGGTGGGTGAGGACTATAGGGTACGGATGGCCACCGGGTAAAGCAAGGACATGTGCTCAGCCCCCTTGATGGGCAGCTTGCGGCTGGCGTAGTGGTGAATGATCTCCGGCACGCTGTCGAAGGGCGGGCTGTGCTGACCCAGCACGTACTTGTTCTCTTGGGTCCGGGACAGTTTCATGTGCATGAAGCCTTGGCTGCTCCTGCAAGGAGAGGTGGAGGGAGGGTTAAGGGGATAGTGCAGCTGGCCCCGACCTCCCCTCAGGCCCTCAGACCCTCCCACCCCCCTGTCCTCCCACCACAGCCACACACCCCTGTGGCTGCGGGGACGCTGCTGGCTCCTGGCCCCAGCCACCCCCCT